TTTAAAATCATTTTATTGGGGGCTCGTACAACTCTTATCGTAATCCATACATACTCCATGGTGTCAAGCACATTTGTACATGTGTTGCCATCATCTTTCTCAAAACATTTGCTTTCCACTTGAGCCCTCCTCATTTTTCCCCTCCTCCCTCCCTGCTCTCTATAGTTTCTATATCATGTTTTCCCTCTAGGTTTTATAATTCTTAGCTAGAACTCAAAGACAATATTCATGCTGAAAGAGTTTATGAAGGAAGTTAACAAGTGTAATGCACGTGAGAAATTCTCAGGATACAGTTGTTCATTCGGGACATGTTACATAGTTCTTTTAGGACTGCTAATAAATGCCCAGAGGGCATGCCACACCACTCTGTCTCAGCCTGAAAGCTGAGACTCCCTGGGTCATTGAACTGAACTCCCCAAATTAAGTGCCCAGAGGCACCGTGCTCCACTAAAGCTCAACCCCAAAGGCACTTTCTTAGCTCCACCTCTATGGGTCAGCAAGTCCAGCTCTCCAATGAAATGCCCAGAAGCAACCCACTATACAAGCCAGCCTTCTGCCCCGAAGTGCTCAGCTTTACTTGCTTTGGGGCTGCAAAGTCCACAGCTTTGTCTCATGCTCTGAGTCCTGTTTCTGCAGCTCATCTGATGTTACAGCTGTCTTTTGGATCCCAGAGGTCTTGAGGACTTGAGGACACACACTACTGCTGGCTCTTACTGGTAGTGAGAGTTCCCCTTCCTGCATCTCAGAGGGCTCATTTTGTACCCAGCAGGATAGCAATTACAGTGAATCCTGTTAACAGTTACTCACAGGTAAAGCCTATCAGTGTCTTTCCCCACCCATGCAGGAAAAGGTGGTTGGATGGGAGTTGCAGAGACATTGGCTAGAAGAGTCATATTAAATAATTCATTGTCCCTGCACTGATTTAGAGACAATTGCTACAAGATTAATCAAACTGCATGGTTCTCACACCAATGCGTATTAGAATCATCTGGAAGGTTGGTGAGCCCCACGCCCGTGTTTGATTGTGGTGGTTTTGTGCAGAGTTGACTCACTCGTTGTGACTCTGTAAGAGAGTAGAGCTGCCTCATACAGACTTCATAGAGCCAGACCACCACATCTTTCTCCTGAGAAGCCACTGGTGGGTTCGAACCACCAGCCTTTCACTTAGTAGCCCAGTACTTACCTACTGTGCCACCTGGGCCCCCTTGGTCTGGGTTAGGGCCAGGTAATTTTGGTTTCTAACAAGTTCCCATGTATTGCTGATACTGCTAATCTATTGACCATACTTTGAAAACTATATCGTACTAAGGGAATAGTTTTAAAATCTCAAGTGAGTCTAAGTTACCAAGTGAGCACTGTAAGACCACAATATGTTTATCATCTCAGGTGAGCTGATACTCCTTATAAGCCAGAAATTTGAAGCCAGGATACAGGACCTGAGGCTCCATATGGCCATGCTAATTTTTGGTGCTAGAAATGATCATGCTAAGCCTGTTTTATAGTTATGACAACAGGAATCTCCAAATCTTCGTCCTCCAGATGGGGTTAGTTGTGCAATCTGTATTTCTTGAGGTCACGGTAATCATCACCTTTTCTCTCACTGCCTCTGTCCACCTCTGTCACTCTGGCTTGGAAAGATTTCTGAGGCTGATTCTCTACGTGATTGAATTCACATAATCTACTGCCAACTTGACTGTCTGAGTCTGATTCCGACTACCACAACTCGAAGTTCATTCCAATGAAAATTTGGAACAGAATCTTCTGAGAACTGTTTCCTATATTTTGTTTTTTTGTTTTGAAGAAGAAACTTTTCCTCCTCCTCTTGTTTATTCTACTTAAAAGTATTCTTAAACTTCCACTCTCTTTTGAAATTTAGTCTGAACACAGCTTAATATTATTTGTTGTTTGTATTTGTGTCTGTTCTAGGTTCATTTCTTCAACAGCTTTTTTCATAGACAGCTGGTAACCAAAGGATATAATGGAGTAAAAAGATGGACTAAGAAGGTATCCTCTTTTTCTTTAAAATTTTTTTGAAAGTATTTGAAATGCAGATGATAAACCACTTTGAGCAGAAGGATAAGAACTTTAATGCCAATGTGATATTTAGAAGCAGATTCTCCCCCCGGCCTGTTTATACTGGAAAAAATGTGTTTAAACATCTCTCTCTGATCAGCATGTGGCTGCAAACACATTCTCTTAGTATTGCTTTTTTTTAAAAAGTTTTATTGGCATATTATTCACATTTCATACAATTCAGTGATTTAATCACATCAAGAAGAGATGTACAGTCATCATCACAGTCAATTTTAGAACATTTGTTTTTATTCTTGTACACACCATTATCAGTTCCCCTTCCACCTCCACCTCCTCTGCCATACCCTCAAGGAACCATTAATCTAGGAACTGTTCTCTAGGTTTACCTGCCCAGGGTTTCATAGAAAAATATTAAAGTAAAATTCAAAACTAACAACAGCAACTAAGTCAAATAGATAAAAATCTCAATAGAAAAGAAAGCAGAAAATATTAAAAACTAGAACAAATTTAAAGTGGATCATAAGGGAGATCAAATGATAAAGTGCTAAATTTTAACCTAATTGCACCTCCAGCAATCTACTTTCCAATGCAGTCTGCATGAGAGATAACTGGGCTGTTCACAGTCCTGGTCTAGGATCATAGGGGGATGCACCAGAGGCCTATCCCACATGTATCTCCCCCACCCCCCCTTTTTTTTTTTAACTGAAACAACTTTAAGATGGGTCAAAAGGGAGATCAAATATATGACAGTACATTAAAATAACTTGCTATTGACTTTACAGTGCTGTCTGATACCCAGCTGTTCACATCCCTTACCTGTGGCCAGAGAGAGTCACTGGAGGCATAGTCCATGGGTGGACCCTGCTAATGGATTGTGGGCTTCCACACTTTAATGTGACCTTTGTTTTTTATTGTAGCTTTTAAATAGACTGTTAGTCTCTTGCAGTTTTATAGAAAGTTTTATTATGATAAAGCCATGCTCATTTATATCATTTATATTCAATATTCATATTACCAGTGGCTGCTTTTGCCTACAAGGTCAGAGACCATATGGTATGCAAATTTTGAAATACTTACTCTCAGGCCATATTGAAAACCTCTGTACTAGCCCATGAAGCAAAAGACCTTTGAGATATGAGACTTTATTTTATTTTTTGAATCATTGTATTTGGGACTCGTACAATTCTTATCACAATCCATACATCCATCTGTTGTGTCAAGCACATATGTACATTTGTTGCTCTCATCATTCTCAAAACATTTGCCTGTGGGGTTAAGGGGAAGAGGGAACCCCACAAAACATCACAGGTTCAGTAGGCGCAATTGTACAGCGATAATAAGTAGAGATTATAGTAAAGTCATAGAGAGCATGAGAGTTAAAGGATGGAGTCAAGTAATGGAGTCAGACGCAATTCATGGTAGCATAGCTCATTTTAGCTAGGCTTGATGGTCCTCATGGAGGGGGCTCAGTCGTCAGAGAAGAAGCCACCGCTTCGTCCTCCTTAGTCACCTTCTCCAGCTACCCTCTGGCCAGCCACCTCCTCCTTGAACCAGGGAGCCTCTCTATTGCTAACCACGCATCATATTTGATTACAGAGTCAAACATCACAGAAAGGGGCAATACAATTCATTCTAGAACAAGTTTGATCACTCTAATGTCTCATATAATAAAACAGACAATTACTATTCTGGGAGGCATGCAAGTTTCCTGATAGCGGACAATAACCTGAGTCACCAGGAGGGGTATTAACATAGGCAATACAATCAATAGGAGAGGAATCACCTAGGGGTGTGCCCACATTTGTTGTGGGAATAACAATGGTGTCTGCTTGATCTAGATAGCTGATAATGGCTATCTAACCGTGGTCATCCTTGGGCGGGTTTGCCCTCTCTGGTATCTCCTGTAAGTGAACAGACCACCATTATCCTTATCAGAAGGGAGTGGGTCTTATTTAGGGTGAGTCAGACTAATAGTCTAGCCACTATAGATGGCTGATGTTAAGGAGAATAACCTCTGACCTACTTTCGCTGATCACCTATTGTACAGTCACTCTTAAGCAGCTAAGTCTGGTACATATTTTGGGGAGACAACTTAAGAGAAATCCTTCTGTTCCCCACATTTGCCTTCTGCTTTAGCCCTTAATATTGGCTGCTCATTTTCCCCTCCCTCTCCATTCGCCCCTTTCTTATGAACCCTTCATAATTCATAAATTATTATTGTTTTGCCATAAATTATACTGTCCGACGTCTTCCCCCGCCCTCTTCTTTGCTGTCCATCCCCCAGAGAGGAGGCTAGATGTAGATTCTTGTAGTCGGTTTCCCAGAGATATGAGACTTTATATTGACCTCCTCTCTGCTTAGAATCTGCCTGAAGCAAAGGAGTGGTCAAAATGTTTGCATGGAACTGGCTGTGCCTTTTGAGGGGTGGTAGTTAGTTGCTATCGAGTTGAAGCCCAGCTCATGGTGGCCCTGTGCAGTGCAACCAAATGCTGCCCCATCAGTTGTGGATCAGACCTTCTGTAGGGTTTTTGGAAGTAGATCACCAAACTATGCTTCCTCCCTCTGGGGTAAAAAGCTTTTAATTGATTTTGTGATCAGTTTCTTTCTTTTGTGTGTGTGTGTTTGTGTGATTAGTTTCTTGAAGAATATAGGAATTGCAGCAGATTATTATTACCTCACCCTCAAATTCCCATCAAGATATAAAACCTGAAACAGGTTTTTAAAATAACCATTAGATTTTGGGGGAGCACGAGAGTCCTAGATATAGCTGTTTTTTAAAAGTTGCGCGGACAGAAAAATTCAGCATGGGTAATTTTCAAAGGTAGTGTTCCCCAAAGTGAAGGAAAAAAATGATAAACCAAGCAGATAAAAATGATAAAGAAATCGTATCTGGGAAATACTAGTAGAAGGCATAAACCAAAAGTGCTGTATATTGGTGAAATTGATGTTTTATGATTGATTTGGCTCGGAAGGAACTGACTAGAGAGGGCGGAAAATGAAAAATAGAGTTCAGTGTCGAGCGAAGTACCAGAATGGTATGCACGAAATGACAGAATTGTCTGTTCCTTCGGTTTTTCCTCATGTACTTGGGGGTCTTGTTAGGTATATCTATAACGTTATGCCTTCTTGAAAGATTGAGTCATATCATTATAAAATGACCTTCTTTGTCTCTAGTAACCGTTTTTGCTTTAAAGCATATCTTGTCTCATATTAACACAGTCCAGAGTCATGAAAATGTACTCCTTTGTCTTCTACTAAGAGTTTTATCGTTTTAGCTCTTGTTCTTAAATCTACACTCTATTTGGAGTTTGTTATTGAGCATGACACGATGTAGTTGATGAAACTTTATTCTTTTGATGTACATATCCAGTTGTTCCAGAATTATTTGTTGAAAATAATTGGCTTTCCCCACTGAATTATCTTGGTAACTTTTCCCAAATCAATTTTTCCTAAATGTAAGGAAGGGTTGGGTTTCATTTTTACATCAATATGACTTTTATGTACATTAATGTGCCTACCATATTATAATTAATTAAATGTATCTGTTTTGTTACTGAAAAAAACTCCCAGTCATTTGAGTCTTTTTTGTCTACTATTTACATTTTACCTATTTTTCCCATTCTTTTAATTTTAATCTTTTTTGGTTACCTATATTTATATTTATAAATAGATAAGAAAATATCCTATAAGTATCATACAGAATAATATGATGTATTATAAATATATAGAAATGTAAATACAAATATACCATCTATTATTCTGTATGATATTTATAGGATCATATTATCGTGTCCAGACTCTGGAGAGGCTAGTCCATATACATTTAATATTACTGATAAGATAGGATTTACAGCTGACAGATGTCTGAAATTCTTTTTGTTTCTCAATTCTTCTGTTGCTCAATTCTTCTGCTGTGTTAAGTAGGGCTTTTTTTTACGGTTCCATTTTAATTCCTTTGCATTTCTCTTTATATATGAGTTATTTCTTGTTACCTGGGAGATTGCCATTAACATCTTAATATATACGAAGCTATAGTTGAGATTTATAACAGTGTGTGCAGCAATGGGCTCAGACACTGGAACTATTATGTTCTGTTGTACAAGGATTGCTAAGGTTTGGAACCAAGTCGATAGCATCTAATAACAACAAGCAACAATTTCAGTAGAATATAAAAACATGGTTCCTCATAGGCATTTCTGTGCCCCTCTCCCCCTTATCCCCCCGCTGCCCCACGTAAACATGGGGTAGACATGCCATGTGAGGATCACCCATTATTATTAGCTGGTGGAGACCGTAATTTGGAATGTTAGCCTCAACAACTTGAGAAAATAAACTTTTGTTCTTTAAACTAACACCAAAACTTAATTTTTATTATAACTCTCTCACCTCCCCTATACTGTTATTACACATTTCATCTTTATACATTTCATGCCTGTCAACATAAACTCTTAATTATTGTTTTATGCAGTTGTCTTTTAAAATCATAGAAAATAAAACGGAGTTACCAACAGAAAATGCATGTATATTGTCCTTTATATTTATCATTACCTTTGCCCTGCCCTTTATAACCCATGTGGATTGTAGTCGCTTTGCGGTTCCATGCCACCTAGGGACACTGGTTAGGGTGTCCTGGAGGGGCAGCTCTTGTTTTGGTTTGGGAATGTAGTAATTAAAAATAGTTTTGCTGCATATAGTGTTCTTGGGTGAGAGTGGGGTGTTTTTGTTCCTGTAAACACTTTGAATATGTCTTTACACGCCTTCTGGCCCCCATGATGTGTGATAAGAAATTATATGCTTTTTCAACTTGAAATTGCATTTTTCACCTTTAAAATTTGTATTTGGTTCCTTTTTGTACTTTCTCTTTATTGCTAGTCTCTATTTGGTAATATATTATTCTTACACTTTTATTTAGCCCATTAGATATAATCTCTTAACTTTAAAAAAATACTTACTTAAAAAAATATACTTAA